CCTCAACCTTTCTGCGGGCCTGGGCGCGTGTGGACTGTTTAGCTTGTGATGATACTCGGGGATGCCGGCTAAGCATCATGCTTTTAAAATGCTTAAGTCTTTACAGTGTGTTTTTATGGCATCTTGTACTTTTTAAATTGTGGTAAAATACACAGCGTAACACCTGCCATCTTAACCACGTTTAACTCTAGGTTTAGTAGTATTAGGTACACCCACTCGGTTGTGGAACAGCCGCGCAGACCTTTTCCATCCTGCAAATATGAAACTCCTACCCCCTTGAAATGCCCCTTTTCCCCTCCCCCTGGCAGCCACCCTCTGCCTTCTATGTGTAGGGTTTGACTGTTCTCGGTAGTTCTTGGAAGGACAGCACTTGTCCTTTTGTCTGGCTGGCTCACTCAGCAAAAGTCCTCGAGGTTCACCCTTGTCATAGCACCAATCAGTTTCCTTCCCTCAAAGGTGGACTGTATCCCACTGCATGTATATGTCACATTTTGTTTATCCGTTCGTCGGCGGTCAGAATGGCACTTTTATTTGTTTATTAAGAGAAAGTTTATTTAGAAAGTCACAGAGGTAGAAGAAGTGAGCCATAGAAGAAATGGGCTCAGGAAAGAAGGTACAGAGGCAAAAGAGGGGCTCTTAGAGCTTAGGAGAGGGAGGGAGGGAGGGAGGGAGAGAGAGAGAGAGAGAGAGAGAGAGAACACCCTGGCGGAGGGGTGGGGAAACGGGTGCTCCACAGGGAGAACCTTGCCCAGAGTCTCACGTGTAAATGCATAAATAAATGCGTCGAATGATAAAGGAAACTTTATAATTTATTAGGGTTGTCAGCAAATTGAAAGAACAAACTGTGAGGCAGTAACGTCCGCATTTCTCTTGGAATGCTCAGTTACATATTTCACACCTAGAGGCTCACTGTCCTGTCCCCAGACTTCGGGTTTTCCTGTCACCTAGTTCGAGGGATGCTTCTGTGCACGGCCCGCCGACTTCATCCCTAAGGACACCACGATCAGTTACCCTCCATCAAGGATCCCTACAAGTAGAACTTTCTGGAAACAGCTCCATCTCTGCTTAAGATGGCCACTCAGCCTGTGCCGCTTGCCGTGCCATCCGCCCTCTGGGATCAGGAACCATCTCCCCTCTCGCCAGCCGGGAGGACACCACACAGAGTCCAGGGATGGCGCGCCTCACCCATAGATTTCTCAACGGCGAGCAGGTCACCCTGACAAGTAACTCCCTGTGGATTCTTCCTCCCGTCCTGCCCGGGACGTGCGGCACGCCCGCCTCGCTGAATGTAGGCCACCGAGGGGTTGGAGCTCCTACCGGCCAAGCCATCTGCCGGGGGCCCTGCCCGTGCCCGGCTGCCTCTGGGCGCCGCTCATACCTGTAAATCCGGCCCAAGGCGGTGGCGTCATCCACCTGGTTTCCCACCGATGGAAATTGGCAGCATTTGACTTCCTTTTGGAGTGGAAGCTATTTCCTCCAAGGTCAACCTTGCTCTTTAGCCCTGGGGCGTGCTGGGATCTGACCCAGCTCAGGGGCTGAAGGCCACAGGGTGGAGCCTGCAAGAGGGTCCCTCAGGCGAGTGTTCAGAAGGGGGCTGCTACACCGGGTGCCAGGTGATCATGTGCATGAGTGCACCCAGACGGGGTGCCTGCGGACCCTCTAGCCTCGCTGTCCTCTGGAAAAGGGGGAGACACGTCCTCACGGACAGGGTCCCCAGGAGGCTGCAGCGGCGCCCTGGGCACCTAAGCATGTTCCTCTTGCCTGATGCTTCCCCACAGCCACTTGTCCAGCAAGACCTGATGAGACAGAGCCTGCGGAGGGGGTAGGGGAGCTACAGATGGGGAGCAGCGGTGGGCTGGGGGCACCGGGAGAACCCAGCTGGTCCCTGGTCCCTAATGGATTGAGCCCAGGCAGCACAGGTCCATTTCGCCAGGGTGAGAGGTCCCCACTAGAGGGCACCCGGGAGGGAGGAGTGTCTTCCACCAGGTCCTGCCCGAATCCTGCCCAAGCCCCAGTCACTTCTTTCTCCCAACCCTCCCCCCCACCTCCCTCCTCTGGGCCCCCGCCCCTCCTTCCTTACTCTCAGGGCCTCCCTTCCCCTGGGCAGCTTCACACGCTCTACAAAGGCTCCGCTGTCCCCGCCCCACCCCCACAAGCCTGTCAATCTCTCCTGCTCACATTCCCCCTGATCTTGCCTTCCGCAGCTGGGTCACCTTGGCCTGGTCACTTAACCTCCGCGTTTGGGAAGATTCTTTCCCGGGGCGTCACGGGGGCTTTCACCCGAGAGCCTGGGTGCGACCCCCCTTTTGCTTTCTCTTTCCTCTTCCCTCTCCTTTCCCAAATGCACTTTCTTAACCCCACACCCTCCTCCCTTCCTTCCTGCTGGCTCCAGCTGGGCTGCCCACAGCCCTCGGGGCTCCCAGCACCCCAACAGTGGCCTGGGGGCAGGGCTGCAGGCCTCGGGGGCTGGCACCCCATCCAGGCCTGTCCTCGTGGCCAGCTGGCCGCAGAGGCTCCTGAGGCTCGCTCGGGCCACGTGGACTCGGAGGCCAGGTGACCTGCGTCCTGTCCTGCTGAGTGTGCTGTCCCGGAGCCTCACCTGGAGTGACCCTGGCCCCGGGGACAGGACAGGCGGACGGGACGGGACGGGCAGGGCTTGGGGCTGGCTGGCCCCATTTGTCAGAAACACAAGCCTTCCCGGCCAGGCCAGGCCAGGCCACTAGCCTAAGGAGCCGCAGGTGGAGACCTTCCCACCCTGGCTCCCCACCCCAGGGAGTCGTGCCTTCTCCCAGGGGGGGCTGAGGAAAAGGGGACCCCATGCCAGACCCCTTTGTTGAGCACCTGAGCGGCGGGGGCCCATGCACCGCAGGGAGTTCTTGGTGACTGCGTGGCACCGAACAAGAAACGGTCAGAACAAGAAACGGTCAGAGCTTGACCCCGTCCGACTCCCAGCCCCCAGCCCCGTCTCCCCACCGGCTTCTTCCTAGAAAGTGTGAACTGTTTCCAATACACGGAGAAGCCCTGAGGGAACAGAACCACCTCCAGGCCCGGGAATCTTTTCACCGAGCCTCCTCGCTTCGGCCTCTCAAATAGAGGCCATGCTGTGGGCGCCGGGACCCTCACCCGCCGCGCTCTCCCTGAGCCCCTGCCACCGCCCCCAGCCCTGCGCCGGGCACGCGTGTCCTGTGTGTGCTTTCACATCCTGCCCCGGTGTCATGTCCCCACAGTCGCCGCCACCCCCTCAGTGCACAGCCCCATCCGGCTGCCGGCCAGCAGCCGTCAACCCAACCAGCACACAGGAGGCTCACTGTGTCCCCCCAGCTGCTACCTGCCCCCAGAATCACCACCCTGACTGCTGTCACCAGACGGGAGCTTTGCCTGGGACCGGGGCCTGAGCCAGAGCGAGGGTGTGCGCCTCTGGGCTCAGGTTCATCCAGGGACCAGAGACCAGCCCTGCTCTTCCTGACGCCGCCTGAATTCCACCGCATTCCTCTGCCCGCCCCTGCCCGCCCCGGCCTGCCCTGCCCCGGTGTCCGGTGGCTTCATCCCGGGGTGTCCTTACACTTCACAGCCTGCACGTGGGTGCGCGGCGCTTTCTCCCCCGGGACCTCGCTGAGACTGATCAGAGCAGCCACCTGGGCCGTCCGGGCAGGTCACCCGTCAGGGGCCAGGGGCCCAGGGGCCATACTGTCAGGGCCACA